TATTTTTTCCCAATCTGTAGGTTCTCTTTTGACTCTTTCGGAGAAGTCTTTGGAAGCACATAAAAATTTAATTTTTAGAAGGTCCCATTCATCTAATTTCTCTTCTGCTATTTGTGCATTTTGGGTTATGCTTGATGGTCTATTTATGCCATATATTAGGGCCTCTAAATTTGCCCCTAGTTTTTCCTCGAGGAACTCTATAATTTTAGGTTTCACATTTAAGTCTTTGATCCATCAGGAGTTCATTTTTGTGTATGGTGTGAGGTACAGATCTTGTTTCATTTTTCTGCAAATGGATATCCAGTTTTGCCAGCACCATTTATTAAACAAACATTCTCTTTCCCCTTTAATGTATTTCAGCCCTTTATCAAAGATCAGCTGACCATAGGTCAATGGGTTCTCAATTCTATTCCACTGGTTTCTGTGTCTGTCCTTGTACCAATACCAGGCAGTTTTGACTACTGTGGCTGTATGGTAGGTTTTGAGATCTGGCAGCCTGAGACCTCCCACTTTGTTCTTCTTCTTCAATAGTGCTTTGCTTATCTGAGTTCTCTTTCCTGTCCATATAAAGTTAGTGATTGTTTTTTCTTTATCCTTAAAAAATATTGAGGGGATCTGGATTGGCATTGCATTGAATGTATAGATTGCTTTGGGTAGAATTGATATTTTCACAATGTTCAATCTTCCTATCCACAAGTGAGTCCCATCTCTTCTTGAGGATGTCTCTCAAATTTTTCTTTCCTTACCAGTCCCAAGACAGAGGTCAGTTCATTTCAACCAACATTTATTGTCATAGTGCCTGGATGTCATCCTGCTAGTTCAAAATTATTGGAGCCATCTTCTCATGTGTGTCCCTGCACCTAATATCTCCTTCCTCCAACAAATGAAGCACCCTGAAGCTTGAATGATCCTTCTAAAATACCACCTTATTATGGCCCTCCTCTCTCAAGGCATTAAAAATCTCCTAAACTCCACTGCCTAGGGAAAAATGTCCAGACTCTTTCCTCTGCTGTTTAGAGTGCTTTTCAGCATGGTGATGAGGAAGGGCACAGTGGTGGTGCAGTGATAGAATTCTCACCTTCCATGTGGGAAACCCATGTTTGATTCCTACCCAATGCGTCACATGAAAGCCACCATCTGTCTGTGATGTTGAACAGGTTTCAGCGGAACTTCCAAACTAAGATCGACCAGGAAGGAAGGAAGGCCTGACAATCACTTCCAAAAATCAGCCAATGAAAACCTGCAACAATTTGATCCCATTGTGCATGGGGTCACCATGAGTCAGGGACTGAGTCAATGGGAGCTGACATCAACAACAGTACTGTACTAGATGGGAGAGAATGGTGGGTACATGGGAGGGGCCTGGCAAGTTTCTAACAATGAAGAATAAGGTGGTGAGCTCTGCCTACTGCCCTCCACTGTCTTCAGTTTGAAAATTCCCTTTCCTTTCCTTTTGGCACTTGAATGAGAGGCTTTGGAGCACTTGAAGTTTCATGTTGCTGAATTTGGAGACAGGAAGAGGCAGCCGGGGTGATAAAATATGGCTCAGGAAACCTCAACTCTGGGCCCATCCCAATTTATGAAGCTTGCTGTGTAGGAGGCTCCATCAAGAAAGCATATGTCTCCCCTGCGGTGGTGAGGACAAGAGCCAACAGTGGGAGTCCTGCATCTTAACTTAACTTGCTTTAATAAAAAGTAGAAGGGGGAAGAGAAGGGAGAAAGATTGTGTGTAGAACAAAGCCCTGAGTGATGTGGAACACTCATGAAACTCAGCTGTCTTCAGGTGGCCCCCCTGGAGCACAGGAGACACCAACCCCAACTGAGGGATGGCATATGGTTGTCTGTCAAGAATGCTCCACGGGGAGTGTGGGCTGGAGATGTGTGAGGATAATGAACTTGCCAGATGGCAGTCACCAGCACCAGCCTTGTCATTCTTGGAGGATCGGATGACGCCACTGGGAATGGGATCCCAAGCTGGGTGAAGATGCTATCTGAGAACTACCCCACCCCAGTCCCTTTAGTGTGAAAATGTACCCTTATTATGGGTCTAGTCTCAAAGCAGGTGCAGTCCAGCAGAAGAGCTGCCTACTAGCTCAGCCTGCGATGTTGGCACAGGCCTCCTGGCACTAACCATGCCCTTCTTGGATTGCTCTTGGCAATAATTACAGAAATCTTGGTGATTCCCCATGCAACAGAAACCCTCACTCATTTCATAGCCCACTGCTGTTGTCTAGTTCTGCTGTCATCAGCTTCCCTTCTCCTCTCCCCTCCCCTGTGGCCAATGACAGTTGGCAGGTGTCTTGAGTACATGCAGGCCCCCTTTGTCCTCCTCCATGGCTCCTTGGAAGCCTGCCCCAGTTTGAGGCGATCCCTGTTTTGTAAAGCCATTAACAATAAGAAGCGTTGAGACCTTGGAGGCAAAGCAAAGGCCCTCTGCTTTCCAGGGCTGGAAGTGACTTGGCTGACCCTTTGGAATCAAGGCAATCAGAGGAAGCATGGCGGCAGCTCCCTTTGCTAAAGGAGCCATGAGTATTCCGTGTCGTGAAGCGTCAGTTCAGGAGTCTGAGTGGGAGGTGTAATAATAACAGCAGCTACTGTTCGATTCCCAGCCAATGCATGTCAAGTGCAGCCATCATCCGTCTGTCAGTGGAGGTTTGTGTGTTGCTGTGAATGCTGAACAGGTTTCAGCAGAGCTTCCGGATTAAGATGGACGAGGAAGAAAGGTCTGGTGATCTACTTCTGAAAAATCAGCCAGTGAAAACTCTATGGATCACAAAGATCCGATCCCATTATACATGGGGTCACTGTGAGTCTGGGGCCAAGTCAACATCAGCTAACACAACAGCAACTGATTGAATGCTTACTACATTCAAGGCATTATGCTAATTGCCTGAGGAACAGTGTCTTATATAATCCCATGAGGCAGGAACGCTAGATCTCGATTTTATGGATAGGAAAACTTTGAGAAGTAAATTAACTGGCATGAGGTCATACAACCAAAAGGTGGTGGAGGTGAGACTTGAACTGTGCCCTGCCTGATTTCAGACCATATGCTCTTAAGCTCTACTCTCTGCCACCTTTGTAGGTCCCTAAAATGTCCTCAAGCAAGGATGGAGTAGTTTTTAAAGTCACTTTGTAATATTTACTGAACACTTAGGCATGTACCAGGCATTACACTAAGCTAACCGTTACATCCATTAGTACATTTGATCTTTCCAATCACCTCTAAGATCCAAACCAAATTAGTTGCCATGGAGTAAATTCTGACTCATGGCGACCCCCTGTATGTCCGAGGAGAATTGTGCCCCATAAAGTTTTCAGTGGTTGATTTTTTTGGAAGTAGATTGCTAGGATTTTCTTTTGTGTGGCACCTCTGGGTGACCTCAAATTGCTAACCTTTCAGTTAGCAGCCAAGTGAGTTAATGTTTGTACCTGTAAGATAGTAGTATTATCTCATATGACAAATGTAAGGAGCCCTGGTGATGCAGTGGCTTAGCGCCTGGCTGTGAGCAGAAAGGTTGACGGTTCAAATCCACCCAGTGGAAACCCTATGGGGCAGTTCCACTCTGCCCCATGGTCGCCGTGAGTCAGAATTGACTCAATGGCACATCAACAGATGTAGAAGGAAACGGAGTCTCAGAGAAGCTACCCCGCCTGTGATTGAGTCAAGATTTAACCCAAGTCATGTCCCTCCACTGCCAGTATCCTCATCCACTAACTTCACCCTTCTGTCTTTGTAAGCCCCCTCTGTGGTTTGCTTTGTCTGGAACTATGGTGAAGTTCATTATTGAGCCTAGAGGATGCCTGTACCCAGGAATCTATGATTTCCAAGCTGACAGGCCACTTTGCTTTGGAGTAGGGAGTGGCTGAGGGAAGAGATGACACACTGGGCCTGGATGGGTGTTATTTCTCGGGTTGGAGTGCGAGACCCAGATTGCTTTTAAGCATATTTTCATTTTTTCCCCTCCATCCCGTTCCAAATTAGGGTGAAGGTTGCCGAACTGTGCCCCTGGCTGGACACGTGGGGTTTGACAGCTTGCCTGACCAGCTGGTGAATAAGTCAGTCGGCCAGGGCTTCTGCTTCAACATCCTGTGTGTGGGTGAGTATTTCCATAGCAGGAAACTTTATTACAGAATATGGATCCGTAATGGCTGGATGTGGCTTTGCAGGTAATTAGGTTAAATAGTGTGTCATTCTGATCTATTTGCAAGAAGTGTTTTCCCCTTCTGCTTTTATCCCTCTGCTCGTTTTTGTAAGCAGACGCCTCTAACTACATTTTTTTCCCTGTCTAGGCTAGAATATGGGGACAGACCGTGGAGAAAATCGAGCTGGTTGAGGACCAGTGGAAATTTTGTAAGAGAGCAAGGCTGACTCTGCTATTGCTGTCAAGTTCATTTTGATTGCAGAAAACAGGAGCCAGGGCAGAATTGGGAGGGAAGGAATAGTTGAGGAAACATGCCCGCCCACCAGCTGTGGGTTGAGTCTGTCTGTTTCTCCGGCAGCCCTGCTATGCTTGGTACTGCTGGAGCTCAAGTGCGGGGACCTATGGTCTCAAGTGTGAGGACCACATCTTAGTCACCTCTATGTCCCTTCAGTACAAAAAGACTTCAGTGATGTTGGTGGAATGAATGAATGAGTTAGGCCCACAGTAAACAGTCATTGAGTCAGAATTGACTCAATGGCAGTTAACAACAATAACATACTTTTCAAACACTTTCCCACATTAGCTCTTTTGGTCCACACCAGGACTGTGAATTGAGCAGAGTATCACGGATATCCTCTTGGAACACATGGAGACCCAGAGACTTGGGGACGATAAGGGATTTACCCGAGGCAACACAGACTAAGTGGCAGAGCCATGAGAACCCAGGTCTGCCTGCCCCCTTACTCCTCCCACTGTTTCTCTCACTGCTGTCAGCAACATCGCTGGAGAACACAAAAGCACACTTAAAACAGTTCAGCATCAACCAATAAATATAAAGGACAGCAGTTCCTTGATATTCTTTAAGAATCTCTTCAGAGATTTCAAAAATCCAAAATTTACAAACACAATCATAACATACAACTTTCACCATACAGTGTAGGAAAGTATACCTACAAATTTTCAACGACCCCCTTCTGAACCTAAGTGATTATATAAACACCACAGTAAAGTCTGTTTTCTCACTGGCAGGAACACTCGAACACTTTTGCTAATTGCCTTTTCTTATTTCTGTATAGAGTATGTGGAGACTCTTTCATGTTGTAGATCTGAACCAGCACTGAATTGGGTATTTCATTTCTTAGTGTTTTCTAAAACTTTGTGTTCTCACTAATGTCATTCATTTTCTTGGGCTTTTTATTCTTACTTCTCCTCCATCCACAGCACTCTTTTCCAGGTCATTTTCTGTAGGAGAACTGTTGCACACGCAAGGACAAGTAGAGGACAACAAAGCCACCGGGCCATCAGCTAGGCTCACTCACTAGCTAAGGGACTTACTCCCACACACCAGCTTTGGAACCTATGGGATGAAATGATGTGCTTCCCAGAATTACACATCATGGACCTTGGAGTCCAGAGCTAAGCTGTTCACTCTTCAAATGCCCAAAGTCTGCTTATTCATGGTTGTGATCAGGTGCTATTAGGAGAGGGATACAAAACAAATGGAAGTCATGATGACTGATACCAAGATCAAATGCTAGCACTGCCAAAGCACGGTTTAATTAAAAAGATCTCCAGTCTTCAGTGAATATCAACTTATTTTACATAATATCTATCTATTTTTGGGGAGTGGGAAATATAATTTATTTTTCTTTTTGTTGTTATTGTTGAGAATTACGCAGCAAAACATAGACCAATTCAACAGTTTCTCCTTGTGTAATTCAGGACATGGATGACATTCTTTAAGTTGTGCAGCCATTCTCACCCTCCTTTTCCCACTTGTTCCTCCCCATTAACATAGACTCAATGTCCCCTAAGGTTCCTATTTAATCTTTCAAGTTTCCGTTGTCACTTTGAATCCCATATAGATAACGTGTTTTTGTAAACTTTCTATTGTGGTTTGGGTGAAAGTTTACAGAGTAAATTGGTTTTCAACAGTTCATACACATTTTGTTTTGTGACATTGATTGCAGTCCCCACAATGTAACAGCAGTCTTCTCACTTCCTCACTGTGTTTACTGTTTCCCTTCTTCCTTCTTTCCTATCCCTTCCTGCCTTCTGAGCATTATCCCTGGGCAAATGCTGCCTTTTAAAAAAATCTCCTATGGTTGATTATTCTAAGGAGTGCATACTTCCTTGGTGTTATTGTTTCCCTTATAGACCTGCGCATTATTTGCTGTAAGTTGGGCCACGTGGGTGAGTTTAGTTCTAGGCTTGAAGGTTGTCTAAGGTCGTGGTGGTTCCACCTATTGCTATCAGATCAGTAAGCATGGTCTTTATTATGATTTTGAGTTTTGTTCCACAATTTCTTCCACTCTATCCAGGACCTCCTATTGTTATCCCTTTCAGGGGAGTCAGCAGTGGTAGCCAAGCACCCTCTAGTTCTGGTCTCAGGGTCCTGGAGGCTGGGATTCATATGATCCATTATATCTTTATATAATATGGACTAATTGTTCTCTTGTGTTTTTTATTTTCTTCACTCTTCTTTGCTCAAGATGGGGAGAATAAATTGTTGCAACTTAGGTGGCCACTCACAAACTTTTAAGACTCCAGTCGCTATTCACCAAAGTAGGATATAGAACATTTCATTTGTGGATTATGTTATGCCAATTGACCTTAATATCTCTTGAGACTGTGGTCCTAAGCCCCTAGGATAGATACATGTTGAAAGAGCACAGTGTTCAAGGCAGACATTCTTTACCAGTTCAGCTAAACTATTGTTTGGTTGTTAGAAGACTTCAGGGGATATTTTTGGTTTAAATTAAAGATTATCTCAGGGCAATAGTTTCAGGTGTTCATCCAATCTCCATGGCTCCAGAAATTCTGGATTCTACAAGAATTTCAAATTCTGTTCTACATTTTCCCCCTTTTGATCAGGGTTCTTTTACACATAATATTTTCTTATTAATTCCAGCACAAACATATTGGATTCCCTTGGAACTCCTCCCAGACCTCTGTATGACCTGTACTGAAGTTGAGAAGATGAGAAGTGAAATGACAGGTCCACCCTAAGCAATATTTCAACCAAGTGCAGTTGGGTGGGCTAATAAAACTTTAGGAAGGAGGCAGTATAAACCAGAATGTCTCTCTGAGGCCAGAGTGTTGGGTCATTTGATAACAGGTACCACTAGGGCCCAGAGGGAGGGGCAGCCAGGGTCAAGGCAAAGTGAGGGAGGGGATAGCAAATCCCTATTCTCTAGTTAAGGAGCTCTGGTGGTGCAGTGGTTAAGTGCTCAGCTACAAACTGGAAGGTTGGTGATTTGAACCCACCAGCTCCTCCTCAGGAAAAAATATTTATAGCCTTGGGAACCCTATGGGCCAGTTCTCACTTGTCCTATAGGGTCACTATGAGTCAGAATTGACTCAACAGCAGTGGGTTTTTTGGGTGGGCCCTCTAGTTCCCGCTCAGCAATTGTAAATGGCAACTGCTTTAGAGTGTATCTGCTGGGATGGAGTTGATGAACTGCCTGGGACAGACACTCCAAGAAGGGAGGAGTAGGAAGGAGCCCTGTCACTCTCAAGGAGTCACATTCTCTTTTTCTTTCCCCAATTGTCAAATTGGAGTGAATGGCTACCCTATAAACTTCCCTCTTAGACCTGCAGGTGCAAAATTGGATAGACCCATCCAGACTGGGTTAAATTCATTCCCCAGGTCTAGTCCAAAAAAGCCTAAAACTCATGCATCCTGCTTTCTTGCTGTGTTTATAACCCTATCTTTGCTCAGAGAACCCACAATTTGGGCCAAGGTCATGAGTGGCTTAGAGTGGCTCTGAGGCTACACTTTGGGTCCCAGCCATGGGGCTGGGTCCTGTCACTGACTTGGCAAAGGGTCTATAGCATGGCTGATGGAAGTGATCTTTTCTCTCACAGGACTTTCAGTGACCATACTTTTATGTCTACTGCCTGAGCATGACTGTCTGATTTATTCCTTTAATGGCTACTATAAAAAGATTCTATCTGGGCATAGAATATGTTCCCCAAAGATCTTCTGTTATCTTTTCTAGAAGGCCTTCTTTTTTAAAATAATAATAATGAAATAACTTTTTATTGTAATTTAAGTGAATGTTTACACAGCAAATCAGTTTTCCACTAAACACTTCACATAGAATTTGTTTAATGTCATTGATTTCAATCTCCACAATATAACATCACACTTCCTCCTCTCTGTGTTTCCCATTTCCATTCCTTGTTCTTTCCTCTCCCTTCCTGCCTTCTGAACTTTGTCCTTGGGCAAATGCTCCCCTTTTGATCTTGAATATTTGATTGTCCTAAAGAGGTATGCATACCTCCCTAATGTTATTGTTTACTTATAGACCTGTCTATCATTTGGCTGAAAATTGAGCCTCAGGGGTGGGTTCACTTCCAGGCTTGAATGTGATTAAGGGCCATCTGTACTCTCCGGGGTTCCACCAATGTCTTATCTGACCAGTAAGCCTGATCTGATCTTTTCTTTTTAAAAAAATTTTTATTGTGATTTGGGTGAAAGTTTACAGAGGAAATTCATTTTCCATACAACAGTTCATATACATTTTGTTTCAT